AAATGACGTAATTGACCGGCTTCTGGTAGTCAGTGCCGTTGTGGGTGCCGTTCGCTGCCGGGGCGGGCGTGCTGGTGTTGTAGTTGCCGCTATATCCGGTTCCGTTTTGTTGAGGGTAAAAGTTGAGCACCGTTTGGACGCCGCTTCCGGCGCTGCCTCCGTAGCCTCCGGAGCCGACGTTTCCGTAACTAGGAGCAACGATGTTTCCGTAACCAGGATTTCCATAGCCAGGACCACCACCGACGACTCCGTACCCATTGCCATTTCCATACCCGTAGCCCGACTTGTCGCCCTTGTTGTTCTTCTTTTGGGCTGAAGCTGCTGCGACGGATGCCGCCGCTGCAGAGAGGGCCAAAGAAGCCGAGGAAAGATGAGGCGAAGAGGAGGCTTCTGCCTTTTGTTGATTTTCACCACTGCTCACTTCCGCTTTCGCTTCGGCGGAGGATTTTTCAACTTCCGCCGCGGCCTTGGCTTCCGCCGCTGCCGCCTGGAGAACGGCGGCAATCTGTGATGCATCCGGTGATGAACTTCCGTCAGAAGCTGCTGGGTTTGAGAGCACCAGGGAGCCAAAAAGGCCAAAAATGAGGAAAGCAAAGTATAGTTTCATTTTTTTTGGTATGAGAAAGTGAAAATGAACAATAAAATGTAAATGCTGCTAAAATGGCATTTACATTTTTCTAACAGAACTCGAGACTTTATAGCCTCACACGGCGGGAAAGGCAAATCCGTGGTCGAGCTTGTGTTTGTATTTGTTTCACCAATTAACTCCATTAAAAATTTTCATTTTTCATTTAACTTTTAACTTTTTTTTCACATTTGTTTAATTGTTGATTAGTCGTGCGCGTGCTAAAGCAGAAAAAGAAGCTCAAGCGCACCGGCTGTTGACATTTACGCAAACATTTTTTGTCAAAGACGCCAGAGGTTTTATGTGCAATCAGTTTTCCTTGGTGTACAACACACAACTGTACAATTGTACAGCTGTAAAGCTACTGTTCAAATGTTTATGTAAAATTATAAAAGAGCTGAAAGGGTATTTCAAAATTGTTCGTCAGCATCAGTAGCGTTAACAGTAAACAAAACAAGTTTACAGCAACAGCAAAATGGCGTCAAAACTCAAATTGTACAAACTCAAAAAAGTATTTTTTATTTTCGCAAACAGTAGTTTTTCATTTTTTGTAATTTTCTAAACAAAAATTTTTTTTATTTTTAGCAAACTATCAAAAGAATTCACTTAAAAAAATAAAATGTCACCTACCTCAAAAGGTGATCCAACTTTTCCAGTTGATTCATTTTAGTTATGCAGAAAGATGATCAGCAGCAGCTGCAACGCAAAAAGCAGTCGGTCGAGCACTTGTACGAGCAGCTGATTGGGCGTTACTCCAACAGCAGAAACAACAGCCATTTCAGGCAGTTCTCTTGTCATAGAAATGTCAGCTCTGGTTGGTCCTTCTTCTAAATTATCACCACCACCCGATCCATTTACCACCAGCTGATCTTTATCAGCACTACCAGACTTGGTGACCAGAAAGAGCCACCGCTGCATCGGCTGTACAATGTTTATCACCCTCGGCGAGATTGAGGAGTTCATGGTGCTGAGGGTGAAGGCAACTGAAGACCAGAGGAGGGAGAAGGCGACGAGGATGATCATCTGGCCGATGTAGATGACTAAAGAAAAAGGTTTACAAGATTTAGAGATGATAAGTTAAAACTTATTTAAAATACTTACTAACTCGAGGCGTGCCCAAACTTCCAAAACCGAGCCGGTTTCCCAGAAAGAGCAGCTCAACTAGCAACGTTCCAAAGCTGAGGCCGCCCAGGTGAAGTCTCAGTTTGTTATCGAATCGCAGGAAAAAGGTCATCAGGCTGAAGGCCAGCGCGCAGAGGACCGGAAAATAAATGGTAGCCCGGTAGAGGCTCGCCCTTCTTTGCATGCTCAACCGGAAGATCACCTCCGGGTACTGGGCGCCCTCGAAGGAGTGCACCTTCTTCTCGCAGCTGGTGGAGAGGACGGTCCACTCGCTACTTTCCGCCAGGTTGTCCAGGCTGATGGTTTCAGCTGCAGGGAGGAGGTTAAAAAGATTTTAGAATTAAAAAATCCTGAATCTAATCGAAAAAAACGGGTGCTCTTACAGGCGTTCACCAGGTTCAGCGAGCTGCCCTCGTAGGTCCACGAGGCAAAGTGGTACTCGCAGCTCTGCCGGTCGGTGGGCCATTCAGAGAGGTCGAGCTCGGCGCAGACGGTCCGCATTGACAGCGCTGGGACCCAAACCAGATGGCCGCTTTCGTAGAGAAGCAGATCTGAATGGGTGTTAGTGCGGATGATGTTCTCCGGCTGGACGGAGTTGAGGAGGACAATGTCCGGCCGGAAGACCTCGCCGGCGGTGACGCGAATGTCGACGATGCCGCCGAATTCGTCCGGGCGCCAGCGAAGCTGCTCATCGACCCACCACAGGCGGAGCCAGCCCTCGGTGGTGAGCACCCCGGTTCGAAGGTCCTAGAAAAAAGGTCGGAGATTTTAGAAATGGAGGTTTTTAGAAGCTGAAGATAATCAGCATCAGTACCAGGTCGACGATGTAGTTCAGGTCGAGCCAGATGTGCACGTCAGTGGGGTGGCTGTAGTTGAGCACCGGCCGGGACATGATGTCATAGCCACGGTCNAAAGGTCGGAGATTTTAGAAATGGAGGTTTTTAGAAGCTGAAGATAATCAGCATCAGTACCAGGTCGACGATGTAGTTCAGGTCGAGCCAGATGTGCACGTCAGTGGGGTGGCTGTAGTTGAGCACCGGCCGGGACATGATGTCATAGCCACGGTCCTTGAAGAGCTCCTTTCGAAGGGCCTTGATGTGGTCTGATGTTTAGAGAGGAAAGGTTACTCAAAGTTCAAGATTTAAACTTGGTGGCTAAAAGTGACTTACTCTGTACGACAGTGTCGTTTTCCTTCTTTCCGTTGCAAAGGCGGCAGGAAAGGCCTAGCACTAGCAAGGTCAAAGTGAGACGCATTTTTGCCTTGATAAACATGCTGTTGGCTTGCTTCTAAATCGGGGGTAAAAATGCAAAAGATTAAAACTTGCTCCTTTCTTGTTCGGTTCAGTGTTTTTTTGTATTACTTTTATGGTAGTGTTGGCGTGCTAACGCCTCAAATGAGCGAATGACCATCATTAATCAAAAGATCCGATAACAAATAACTTCAGCGAACTGCTTCTTCTCACTTGTCAAGTTTTTTTCAGTTGAACACAAAACACACACTTTGTTTTTTGTTTTTTAAATCGCTGTCCGGGAACATTTTCTTTTAAAATCTGTCGGCAACATTTCTCATGCCGCCAAAAACAGCGAAAAATTT